TGTAAAATCTATATAACCTTATTACAAAAATATAAATGAGTAAATTATAATTTGGTCCCTGTGTTTTTTATGATTTTATAGGTTAGTCCCTTTATTCTTGAAAATCATAAGTTAGTCTCCTAATCAACGTAAGCTGTTATTTTTATTTTATTTTTTTGAAAATTTTGTATTATCCTTTTTCAATAAACACTTAATTCTGTCTGTGCTAGATAAGAAATTGAAAATCTTAATTATAAATGAAGGATATTTTAATCATGGTAAAAAAAACTAATAAAAATACCAAATTACAATCAAATATGAGAATATAGGGACTCAATATTAAATTAGAAGAAAAAAAACAGAGATTAACTAAATATTTCATTAAAAAAATTGTAATTAAATAATAATTTTTCCTTTAAAATCAATTGCAATTAATATTCTCAAAAAAATGACATTGCAATAAATTTAAATTTTACATGTACATCTTAGATATCCTAAATATTGACTCTTGAAAACTTAAATATGTGACTCTTTAAAAGAGACAGAAAGCCCACATAATTATTATAACCCATAAACCCAATTGTTTGAGATTAAAGAAACACAAGCAGGCCACAAGTAAGGTGCAAAAAATCATCAAAAACTCAAAACGCTTTTTTTGCCAATGATTCACAAGTTATTGTTTATCATCGTATTTTTCTTTTCTTCCATTCTAGGGGCATTGCTTTCCCTAGTCTTTAGTATTTCATATTGGATATGTAGTAGATTAATTTCCATGAATCTTATTTATTTTAATCTTTCTTTTCCTTTTTCCTATAAAATTTTATATAAAAAAAATTAGGGGCCTTTTGGCCTCTAACTTTTATCATTGCTCTTGAAGTTTTCTATATTATAAAATCAATGATTTTTTTAGTAAGGAATTGTAAGAAATGAAAGAATAAATTTTAAATTCTAAAAATAAAAATGTTTGTTATTTTTTTATATAGTAAATACTCTGAGAATTAAAATATGAATAATTAAATGAGAAAAATCATTAACTTTTTACTTGAGTGGTTCATGGGGCATTTATAATTTCTTAATCTTGTTGTTTTAATGAAGTGGAGTGACTAGAGAATCATTTTGTCCTAATATAATTAATGAGGATAAATATGTATTACAGAACATTAATGAAAGAAAAATATCACATATATAATATTAATAAGAAACAAATATCACTTACACGTCAATTAATAAGATGAAAATATAGTAGGTTATTGGAAAAGTTTTTATGTAACTATAGATGCAAGGAATCAAATATCCTTGACATGAAAATTTCATGTTGAAAGTATTAAGAATAAATAAACAAAGTTTTAGCCCTAACATATGCTTATAACAACCTCCAGACTAATTAGGCTTGGCATGCACCTAAGCCCAAGAATAGTACATTTAGCAACTCGTTAGACCCGTATCTATTTAAACACAGCATATGGATTATCCAAGGATGTTAGGTCTAAAAACTCATCAGACTATATTCACTTGGACTTGACTCATAGCTAACTTAAAAATGTCAGGTCAGACAACTCATCAATCTCATGTTTGTTTAGGCTCATCATGTAATTGAACTCAAATATGTTGGGCCTAAAAGTGAGCAAATATATGTCATATGAGCTTGATATTCTACCAAGTCTAGAGATATTGGGTATGGATGCAAGCCTCATCCACGTGTCAATGGATTACCACTATATTATTTGATCCTTTTAGATAAAGAATTAGGCTATTTCAAAAAATACAAAAAAAAAATATTAGTTCTTCAAATAGTGATAACGATTGCAATTAATTGAAAAAATTTATCATCTTATGTATTAGTAAGTGTATATAAAGTAGAGAGAGCTAGAGGATTATAAAAAAAAAATAAGACTTTTTATCCTTTTAAACAACAAAAATTAAAATAAACTAAAAAAAAAGTGAACAACTATGCAATATGTAATGGAAAATTGGAATATTAAGAAGAAGAAAAGATGCAAGAATTATAATCCATGATCATCCTAATTAATCACTCATTACAGCTTATCATAGACATCATAACACAAAGCTCAAATAGTATAATTTTCAATTTCTCAATATCTTCTAAGATACATTATTTAGGTAATGAGAGAGTTTGAATTGTCGATTAATATTAAGAAAATAAAATGAAAAAAAATAAATTGTGAAGGAAGAAGGAAAATAAAAAATTATAGAGAAAGACTTTTAGTCCAAATAGACTAAATTTAGTCTAAATTGGTTCAAATCAACCCCTCTAACTATGACTAATTGTAGGTAATTGGAGAATTATTATCCATCAGGATGATGGGTTAAAATCACCTTCATCTAAAAGTAAATTAAAGGGTTAATTTTTATTTAATTTAAAATATATAAAGGTAATGAAGTCATTAAAATTTAAAACTAGATCTAGATTTTCATAGTTGTATTATAGGTTGGTGACTAACCTGCAAAATAAGTTTTTGACAAAATAAAAAACCTTCTAGTACTTAAGTTGGTAAATGTAGAAGAGATGAAATATATGTGTGAAAAGAGGATGTGTGGTAATGAAAATAATGTTATATATGGAACAAGAGAGTAATTGAATTAAATGAGTTTGTTTGATCTTTTTACCTAGTGACATGTGGTATTTATGAATACCTCAAGTTAGAGAAAAATGATGATAAAATTTGAGTTATTGACTGATATTTCACGCTTGTTGTTGTGGGATTGAGGTTAGTATTTGAGAGTAAGTCATTGGCCAAAAAATGGTTAAACTATGAGAGTCGGTGCAAAGTTAGATTTATAGATAGTTATTGATAAAAAAAATATGAACAAGCTAAGAAAATTAGTGTTGCATCAACTTGGGGATAGTCATTCATGGAAAAGTTGGTCTGAGACAACTTAAAAGAGATAGTTATCGGTGAGAGAAGACTTATTTGGAGTGAAATTTGACTCCATTATTATGTTTAAATAGATTCATAAATCATTTATTAGGTTATGGTGATTTTACAGTCTCTTTATCTTTGTGGCTTGGTTTTCTTTATACTTGAATTTTATGTTTTTTTCTCATATCTTGCCTAAAGCAAATCAGATGACTAATGGCTGCAAAGTAAATGTCTCTAGAAATTATGATTTTAGAGCATTGCTTTGATCTTTTCATGATGTTTTTCTATTGAAAATAATTGATCCAATGATACATCTAGTGAAAGTTATTATTACTATTTTAATAATGCAATCAATAAGGAGTCCCTAGAATTGAAGAAGCAAATACATGTTTTTCTTATTATGTTTTATTAGTATTCTTGAGTTTTTATGGTTATATACAAGTTTAGTTTTGTGGTATTTTGAAATAAATGAGTAGAAAAATGCAATAAAACCCTTGAAGGCTAATAAGTGGGTATAAATAAATAAGGGATATTATGGTAATTGAATAAATATAATAAATAAAAATAAAGAGAGAGAGAGAGATCTGAAATTAAGAGTGAAAAACTTATGGAAGAAAAGAAAAAAAAAGAGAAAAGAGGAAAAGATAAGGGAAATAGAAAGGAGTTGGAGAAAATAAGTTTAAATATAAAATTTAGGTTTTGAAATGTATAAATATGTGTTCTTTTATCTTTAAATTTTTGTTTTGTTGAATGTTAGGGTTTTGAAGAGTATATTTTGCGTTTGTTGATGAATTGATTTGAATGTTATGGGTAATAAATTGTTTAGTTAATTTTGAAAGATTGTAAGTAAAAATGATGATTTTGAGTTAGAAATCTAAAGATAACAGTAGGTAATATGTGAAAATTCTGTGTTTCAGGTTGAAGATGATGAAATTTAGGGTTTGTTGCCTCAATTTATAAAAATTACAGTTTAGTCCTCAAAATTTGAAAAATTACAGATTGGTCCCCGAAGCATAATATGATATTCTAGACAGAATAAAAAGTGAATTATGGGCAGAATTCCAATATAGTTATAAATTTTTAACACTTTCAATTTGGTCGTCCCATTTAATAAAAATTACAATTTGACCCTAAAATTTGAAAACATTCTAGAATGGTCCCTGAAGCATAATTAGAGATTCTAGACAGAACTAAGGATAAATTATGGATATAATTACACTATAGTCATGAATGTATAATATTTTTAGTTTGGTCCTCCAATTTGATAAAGTTACATTTTGGCTCTTAAAAATATGATAAATTTCATATTAGTCCCTAGCTGTAATATTAGCTTTTTCAAATCGGTTTGATGAATAATTAAGAGTTATTTATTACATTACTATTAAGTCTTATTATTTTTTTTATTATGGATTAGATTTCAGGAAAACCGTTTAATTTTGGATTCTTAAAAAAAATTACTAGTTTAGTTTAAAAACATATAAGGTTATGAAATAAACCCTTAGTTAAGTATATTAAATAGATTGTATGTTTTTTTCAAGTCGTTTTTGAATATGTCTCTTTTGTATTTAAATAATCCTAATATTCTATCGGCGGGATATCAGTAAGATTTCATTTGGTATCTGCTTTTGAGTGTTGTTTGCTTTCGAGTCAAATGAGTGAATAATTTTTCATATGCATGAGAAATATTATAAATATTTTATTTGTTAATATGAATTGAATCATACTTTTTAATAATATATATGTTGATTATTATTCTTGTTACGATAAAGCACGATTAGTTGTTAAATCTAAATTCTTGATATGAACCAATATATATTTTGAATTAACTTCTGAATTGATAGCTCCTCATTTGATTCATATCATGAGTGAAGTCTTGAGATATGAATATGTCTGTTTGATTATGATTATGATTATGAACCTATGGTATGTTAGTCAGAATATCTATGGTAACAGGGTAGTGTTAATTTTTATGCACATCGTATATGAATTCTAGTTGGTTGAGGGAGTCGCCAACTATATGGATTGATCATCCCACAGTGCAGAGCCTCATGCTCATTGCAATTTAATTTTCTGACGAGCTTTATCTTATGATATTCTTTTTATGGTCTATTTGAAAAATCTTCCTATAAGAATCTAGAGCAATGATTGTATATATACTCCTCATTGTTGTATTACCCCATATTCTGACGAGCTTTATCTTATGATATTCTTTTTATGGTCTATTTGAAAAATCTTCCTATAAGAATCTAGAGCAATGATTGTATATATACTCCTCATTGTTGTATTACCCCATATGTGTATATTAAACATTATCTACTCACTGAGTTGTTAAACTCACCCTCTTATTATTTATCTTTTCCAGACTTATAACTTGTTAGCATGTTATTTTTGTTGAACCTTTAGAACCTACTCTTTTTATTGTAATTAGAAATTTTTTATGCCTAATTAGTGCTTCAAAACTATAAATTTGCATTAAATCTTATATCAAGACAATCGAATTATATTATGAAGTTAATTTTGTTATTATTAATATTGCATTGAACTTTAATTAAGTTATTTAATAGATAAATTTCTATATAAATTTAGATTCACAAAGATAAAGAACCTTGAAAAAAAACTTTATTTATTTACCGGCCATGAATATGAGAATCGATTCATGATAAGTTTGGTTTTTTTATTTTTATTTTTATATCCTTGTCCTTAAGATTTTTTTGGCTTTTTATACGTCTTATCTAGGTGTTCTCATGCATTGTTATGTTTATCACATTAAAAAATATTAGCCATTATAGACTAGGATAGAAGTCAATATTAGTATGGTATTGGTCTGAGATAGTTCATTGGCAAGAAAATGTGGTCATTAAAGGCTAGGTACAGGGTTTAGTTGGGCTAAGATTGGATTGACCTTTTCTCCCCTTTTCCTTCTCTTCTCCACCTTTGGTTTGGTTTAGGATAAGAGTCGGCTAAACCAAGGTCGCAGATGGTTTTATTGGTCTAGCTTGGAAGGAAAGAGCTCAGTTGTGCTTGGCTCAGAGAGGGTTCGGTTGGGCTACCCATTTCTTCTACTCCTTCCCTCTTTTCTCTCCCTCTCTTCTTGCCTTCGCGAGCAGCCTCGTGAGGGCGGCCCCATTGTCTTTGGACATATATTTTATTTTCTTTGCACCATCTAGAGGGATTGATCATTTGACCATTATAAGAAGAAGTACAGGGGCCTTGTTAGATTTTTAAATTGTCATAATTAGCTGTTCAAAATGGACGTTGAATGGTGGATAGACTCGACATCATTGTTGTTGTTTTTAATTACTGAAAGAACATAAGGTCGCGTAGACATGTTTTGAAAAGGAGGAATTCATTGAGATTCAATTTTCCAGCTTTAATAATTTAAATTACTTGGAAGGAAAAGGACATACCGAATTGTTGAAAGACGAGGGGTATTGGGGTGGGGGGGGGGGGGGG